CAAAGGCAGTTCAGATGCAGTGAACATCATGCAATGCTTGGGGGGGGGAGCTTCAGGATGGAAATAGTTCTGAACTGTTAGAGGGAGTCTGTGGCCCAAAGCCACTGGCTTCGGCGAAGATGGTAGTGACGTTCGCTTTGAAGGATTGTAGGCCCTTAGGAGATGGTGGTTTGGTGAAGAGGGTGTTGATGATGTTGTATGAAAGGCGCGTCTTAGGTAGTTAGGAGCGCCTGGAGGGAGAACATTTTCCAGTTGGAAGGGGTGTGAAGCAGACTGTTGGCATTGTCTCCGGGTTACAGGTGCGGCATGGTGGACGACGAGAGGGGGGACCATGGATCTCAGCAGAGGAGGACCTGGTTGGCCCAGCAGCTTGTAGACGAAAGTCAGTGCCGCCACTGTCCGTCGGTTACGACTGATCTCCTGTCAGCGGCCTCAGACTGGAAACTTCTTGTCGACTCAGTTAGTGCAAAGATTTCTTTCCCTAGCTGTGTTGCACTTACCACCCTAAGACCAGATATAGTTCTGTACTCTACGAGTCGTAGGATTGTATTCTGGATGGAGTTGACAGTTTGTGCTGAGGACAGATTCAGTGTCAGTAACTCGCGGAAGGACAGGCGGTATGCGAATCTGGCCGATCAATGCCGAGCAAACGGGTGGCAGGTCGTTTCTTTTTCGGTTGAGGTAGGTGTGCGTGGTTTCATCCCGGACTCTCTTCGGAGGGCTCTGAAAGCGCTTGGGTTTTCTAATCGAAGAATAAAATTTACATCATCTGGTTGCGACGTCAACAAAAACACTGGTCGGAAGATCCACTTTTCTGAGGTACTGTATGTGGGGCTCCGTTTATTGAGGTGCGTTGAAATTTATTCTCTTTATCTTATTATTTCTTTTCTATAATTTCCTCATATGAGTTCCTATCAGTTGCTGTGAACACCTTGAGTGGAGAGCGCTTGCTCGAGCGTTGAACCGGGTTCTTAATCCACCATACCCAGTTCGCAAGGCTGGGCGGGGTTGTGAGCAGGCTTTCATTTCATCTTTTCTTATTATTTCTTATTATTTCTGCTTTTCATCTCATTACAAAAATTCTGCGCTTTTTCTCCATCTGCGCATAAAATCTAGACTGACAACCTGCTTGTTAAATCATGCACCTGCTTTCAGGCGTAAAAACCCTGTTGTAGAGGTCTCAGTCCTCATTTGTTAGACTTACCTGTCTTTATAAATGTAACTTACTCTCTCTCTCTCTCTCTCTCTCTCTTTCTCTCTTTCTCTCTCTCTCTCTCTCTCTCTCTCTCTCTCTCTCTCTCTCTCTCTCTCTCTCTCTCTCTCTCACTAATGCCATCCCTGTCTTCCACACCTCCCCCCCCCACACACACATCCACACTCGCACTCTCTCACATTCACACACATCCACACTCGCACGCTGCGCACCTCCCCCCCCCCCCCCTCCCCCTCCCCCTCCCCGCTCACACACAATTCCTGTGTGAACTGTAGGTCTACTACCGCCACACGCAGGAACTTGTCAACGGCAGCTGCTCTGACCCAACCAATGCCGTCTTTCGTGTTGTTGAGGGTCAAAGTGGACAAGAGGACCACATCCTCACCGAGCTCTTCACCTGGTTCTTTCTGCTAGTCTTTCTTCTCTGCATGCCTATTATACTTATGAACATGCTGGTAAGACCAACACGCTGATACTGCAGTACCCGATGACATCTGGTTATCACGCATTCAGTCGCATGAAACAACTCTAAGCTTGTATGTCAGGTAATAAAATAATAATTATTTGCGCAGGTGTCGCTTCACAGGTTTGCTCAAGCGTTTGTCGCTGTCCTACTTAGAAAGAACAACTCCTGCATGTTTGATGGAATGCCTAGTTCTACGTGGTTCGGTTGTGCAAGTACGTTATTTAGTGTACGTCATGTGCGCATGGTGTTGGTGCATGTGCGTGATGCTGTTGTGTGAAAGGCAGTCTTCGTCTTGAGTTCGTCATGTTTAGGTGTGTTTCCGTTGTCTTGTGGCAAACAACTGTCTTCCCAATGGAGTTACTTCGTCAATTGTCTAAGTATGGGGATGGCACGGTGCTGGGAGCAGGAATGAAGAAATCCATGTACTTCAAGTACAAGTACAACTGTTTTGTTTGATTCTTGTTCTTCCTTTCTTCATCAGATTGGTTTGGCTGTAGGAGATATTGCTCTGATACGGCGTGAAGCCGCGCAGAATATTGCGGTGTCTCAAGTAAGTTTGCGTTGTGGAGCAATTTGATTCCTGTTGGTTCAACGTTTTGTTCCTCCCACAAGGTTCGAGTAGCTATTCGTTGATGTGAGTAACATGCATGCTGATCTGTATGTATGTGTGTGTGTGTGTGTGTGTGTGTGTGTGTGTGTGTGTGTGTGTGTGTGCGTGTGCGTGCGTACGTGCATGTGTGTTTCTGCCTGTATCTCTGTGCTTCCAGGCTGACCTTATACTGGCTCTCGAACGAAAACTACCGGAGAGGTTTCTGAGAAGATTTGCTGATTTCTCCGTTTGCATTGACAGGAAGGCAAAACCAGCTGGGAGCTGGTATCAAGATGTATGACGGCTGTCACGTCTGTGCCTGTGTTTGTTTGTATGTGTGTTTGTTTATGTGTATTTATGCGCGTGTGTTTGTTTTAGTGTGTCTTTGTATGTGTCAAATATGTGTGTCACTGCGGCAGCAGAGCGTAATACACAGAAAAACAAGAGGGACGTCACACACGGTATGACCAGTCTGGCCATGGACGTACCACTTTTCGTCCAGGATGGTACGCCCAGAGCGCCTGTAGAGCGTTGAAACATTCCCTGTTGGACCAAAATTCCTTTTTCCCCAGGGGATACACCTCCTCCGTACCCCTGGTCGTACCACTCCCCACGCTCCTAAAGCACTGCTGTGCCCGCCCTCTACACATCCCTCTGCACCCGAACTCTATGTACTTCTGTACCCGTCTCCTATATACCTCTGTACCTCTGTACCCGTCCCCTATGCACCTTTGTACCCGTCCCCTTTGCACCTCTGCACGTCGGCCCTATGCACCTCTGCACCCGTCCCCTATACACCTCTCTGTACCCGTCCCCTATGCACCTCTCTGTACCCGTCCCCGGTGGACCTCTGCACCCGTCCCCTATGCACGTCTGTACCCGTCCCCTATACAACTCTGTAACCGTCCCCTATGCACCTCTGCACCCGTCCCCTATACACCTCTCTGTACCCGTCTCCTATGGACCTCTGTACCCATCCCCTATGTACCTCTGTACCCGTCCTCTACATGTATGGACCTCTGTATCCCACCCTCTGTGCCCATCTGTATCCCGTCCCCAAAGTACCGCTGTGCCCGAATCTTATTGCACGTCTGATCCCGAACTCCATGCACCTCTATACCCGTTCCATGTGCACAGGTTCTGAGTGAGCTGAAATCAGCTGCAGGAAATCTGGATTTCGCGGACGAGTCCACGGCAAACCTTGGTGCAGCGCCGACCTTCCAGGATGAGATGACGCCGGCTGGCCACTGCAGCATGAACCACGGGTAAGTGTAGAGTCCGTGTGCCGTTGCTCGCGGCGGTGGAGTGCGTGCATACGTGCCGTGGCGCCAAGTGAACCGTGCACCGATTGTTGCTTGCGTGCGCGCTGGCCACTTGACACTGAATTTTCTCTTTATAGCCGAAGTTTGTTATAACCGAAATGCACCCACGCGGTACAACCAACACGTCATGACCGGCCTGTGGCCGACGGCTGTACCATGCACTTGGTTATCATGCGGCTCTACAAGAAATGTTTCGTTATAAACGAAGACAGCCTGCCACGCCGGATCAATTTTGTACGGGTTGAAACAAGAACATGATGAGTGGTTCCCTATTATTTTCACGAAATTTGCTATTAAAATTGGAGTGGACTGTATACCGTTTAATATTTTTTTGTCTGTGAACACTCCGGCATAGCCGCCTAGATATGCATAACAGTTACTAGTCTTCACTTCTTCAAACCCCCCAAAACGGCCACTCTTCGCCGAAAAGTACTTGTTAACATTCCACGAATTGTTCGGGCCTGGCTCATTGTCAGGATGAAAAAAACTTCACTCTGATGTTGAGCCAGGCTGAAAACATGATGGTGGAATTTGAAGTTATTTTCAGCGAAGGGATCGTTTGTTGAAGTTTGAAGTTGACGAAGTGATTGCGTGTGCTGATCAACGGTGCTTTACGGTACATTTAACTGTATATGCGTCTCTACGCATCTTCCACTCCCCGTTTGGTTGTGTCTCGTTCACCTGTTTGCTCCTGTTTCTGTGTGTTCTGCTTTCTGCCTTTGTGGATCTTTCATCATCCGACATGCATAACAAATGCACACACAAACGCATGAACGTGCACACATGCACACACAAATACATTACTACTTGCTCAGGCTCGAGACGATCGCTACTCAACAGCAGCGCCTGAGCGAACGCTTCCAGACCCTCTCGCAGGAGATGATGACAATCTCCCGCCAGCAGGAGAGACTGCTTGCTATCCTGGAAAGGAAAACCTCGGCTCCATGAAGATTACGGCACGTATGCACTTTATCCCATGCACACACACATGCACACACACACACACACACACACACACACACACACACACACACACACACACACACACACACACACAATCACACACGTTCAGCTTCAGCTCTGAACAGTACCGCAGCTCTCTACCATACTCTAGAATCATGCCGTGTGCGTACAACAAATTTCACCCATATCTATTCGTATGCATTTCACTAGGAAAGACCGACAGCTTTTCCACAACTGAAAAGCATGTCGTCTGCATCCAATTTGCCGGCAAACTATCTTAGCAAACTCCACATTTTATTATTTATCTTCAATGCTGCTGCGCATGGCAGGATTCAAGAGATAATGTGCTTGAATCTAAGAGGCTTCAGCCTGCTACAAAATTCTCCACGGCATGACAGCCAGTTATAATAACGAACGCAACATAGGCTGAAGCGCGACCGGAAAAAAGATCAGGAAACAGCAGCAGCCATTTCCCCTTTTTTTCCAATCTGCAGAGAAGTGTGGTGCTCACTTGACTGACTAGCAACAGTATAAATAGCAATAACTACTACGCCTAGCAGAGCGGCGTGCATGTAGGCGGTGGTGGTGTGTGTAACCACACATCCGTCGCCGCTGTCAGGCTGAAAATGTATGAACGTGGTTCACTGCGCACGCGCGCGTGCATGTCAGCGAGCCCAAAAATATAAGAGAAAACATTGGGTCTGAGGAAGTGGGCATAAAATGGAGGGGGGGGGCAGAGAGAGAGAGAGAGAGAGAGAAAGAGTGACACAGATGGAGACCAGCAATTGGGAAAACAGAGGAAGCATCCGCCAGCTTTAGCGGACTTATTCGTCTTTGGCGTAATCGGCCATGTCTTTGCGGAGCAATTGCCTATTCCAACTCTGCAGAGTACAAAGCACAGAAATAGAGAAAAAGCAGACAGTGGTCATACTCCCTAGTAAACAGTCGTACAGGCGGGCAAAAAAAGGCACGCACACACGTACACAGACACACATAGACATCACGCACACGCTGGGCATGCATGCATAAACACATTGCATGCACACGCACAAATGCTTGCATGTACGCATACACACACGTCGGATTGACAGCAGCGACGGTTACAAAACTGGGCAGCAGGAGCCACACTACCTACAGTTCGAGCTTGCTCACACAGTACTCAATACCTACAGTTAGAGCTTGCTTACACAGTGCTCAATACCTGCAGTTAGAGCTTGTTCACACAGTGCTCAATACCTGCAGTTAGAGCTTGCTCACACAGTGCTCAATACCTACAGTTAGAGCTTGCTCACACAGTGCTCAATACCTACAGTTAGAACTTGCTCACACAGTACTCAATACCTACAGTTAGAGCTTGCTCACACAGTACTCAACGCAGGGTCACCTCTAGGGGGGTTTCCAACCGAATCGCAAACAATGACTCTAAAGAGCCCTGGGAAATTTTCAAAATTATGCATTTTTCGTGTTCTTTGGATCATAACTTCAGTTCTACTCACTCAATCTTCATTATCTTGGGCTTCCTGGAAGTGGAAAGGTACCAGGGAGAGAATGAGGTCGACCATGATAGCCAGGACACAGTACAGTCATGTACATATCCAGCGCTATGGCTATTTATCGCGGTAGAGTGCAGTGACGGTGCGAAAAAGGCCCAAACGCGTCCTGCTCCAGCGATTTCGTTTTTCTTGATTGCAGAGCTTCGATTTTTTGGCTGTGTACTCTTGAAAATATCACAAGTGAAGCCCCTGCAAAATTGAGCAAGTCAATGCGACGAAAAGTCTCAAATAATTCTGGATACTCCAGTCGCACTGCGCGCTTTTGAAATTGCGAGATCGCGGCTCAACTTACGAATGATTTATCTCAAGAGACATTGCTCGCAGCGCGTTGAAAATGTTTCAACCGACAGCTGAGAGTTTTCTATTCGACCTGGATATTTGGATCGTTGGATTTGAGCGAGATTTGACTGAGTTGCGATCTGTTGCGATCTGTTGAAGTTTTGCATTCTTGCCAGAGCGATCGTGCGCCCTACCAAAAATACCCAAAAACGTTGCTCGTTTGGAACATTTGGGGGGTTTCCGGGCAACGGGAAACCCCCCTGCGTACGCGCCTGCCCAATACCTACAGTAAGAGCTTGCTCACACAGTGCTCAATACCTACAGTTAGAACTTGCTCACACAGTACTCCATACTTACAGTTACAGCTTGCTCACATAGTACTCAATACCTACAGTTAGAGCTTGCTCACACAGTACTCAATACCTACTGAGTTAGAGCTTGTTCACACAGTACTCAATACCTACAGTTAGAGCTTGCTCACACAGTGCTCAATACCTACAGTTAGAGCTTGCTCACACAGTGCTCAATACCTACAGTTAGAGCTTGCTCACATAGTGCTCAATACCTACAGTTAGAGCTTGCTCACACAGTACTCAATACCTACTGAGTTAGAGCTTGTTCAAACAGTACTCAATACCTACAGTTAGAGCTTGCTCACACAGTACTCAATACCTACAGTTAGAACTTGCTCACACAGTACTCAATACCTACAGTTAGAGCTTGCTCACACAGTACTCAATACCTACAGTTAGAGCTTGCTCACAAAGTGCTCAATACCTACAGTTAGAGCTTGCTCACGCAGTGCTCAATACCTACAGTTACAGCTTGCTCACATAGTGCTCAATACCTACAGTTAGAGCTTGTTCACACAGTGCTCAATACCTACAGTTAGAGCTTGCTCACACAGTGCTCAATACCTACAGTTAGAGCTTGCTCACATAGTGCTCAATACCTACAGTTAGAGCTTGCTCACGCAGTGCTCAATACCTATAGTCAGTTTCAAAAAGATTAGCAATCCTGGCGATCGCCCGGGGAGTTTGCCGTCTTACCGTATGAGCGCTCGAGCGCTGCCTGGAAAAACTCACTGTGAACTCGAAGAAATATTCCGCGCGAAAGCATGAAAAATGACAACTCACTCACGTCGGTACTCGTACATCATGTTCGTCTGGTTTACAACAAGCGAGTTCTTCCTCGTATCGATATGGAGTCCGAGAGGACATGTCGAAAGTGTGGTAAATTTTGACGAGCGGGATGCACTCTCACGATGTGACGAAAACGGCATCGACACAGACTCATTCCCAAGGCCTTGATGTGGCAAAGCTATCCGTGTGACTTCGACGACATTTTGAGAACAGCAGACGCCTGTGAAAGCTGATAGAAGACGGCGTTGACTCCTAAATTCAAATAAATTGGCGATCTTGAAATACTAAAATAATTCTCAAACAGAAATCGATCGATCGATGTGCCGGTGTATTCAACAACACGAAGCTACAGCGCAATGACTTCCGTGTTCACTCACACGGTTTCAGTGTTGTGTATGTTCACAACTTCACATGGCGTGAGTGTCAGTCAGTTCGGCGGGAAACGCGAGCTCCAACAACAAGTCGTTTGGCGCAGCCGCCTTCTTTGTCTTGTACAGCACCAGAGTGATCACCAAACAATGAAAAAAATGAAGAAAAAATGTTTGACTTGAAGATTTGTTGGGATTTGAACTCACAACTTCATGGTCAGCAGACAGCATTCATAACCACAAGGCCAAAAAGGAAGCGATAAATCGTGGGTTTTGATAACAAATCGATACTGGCTTCCAGGGAAAATTATAAACCATGGGAAAAGGCCAGAAACCTGGCCGAAATTCTAACTCCTTAACGGTTGGTCCAATTGTTCCGAAACCTTCACAGAACAATTTGCCGTGCCCTAACAAGCCATTTTATGTACTTTGTTGTCCAAATTTCCCTTATCTTCATACTTTTTAAGACCCAAACTTGATTGCTAATCTTTTTGAAACAGACTGTACAGTTAGAGCTTGCTCACATAGTGCTCAATACTTACAGTTACAGCTTGCTCACATAGTACTCAATACCTACAGTTAGAGCTTGCTTACACAGTACTCAATACCTACTGAGTTAGAGCTTGTTCACACAGTACTCAATACCTACTGAGTTAGAGCTTGCTCACACAGTGCTCAATACCTACAGTTAGAGCTTGCTCACACAGTGCTCAATACCTACTGAGTTAGAGCTTGTTCACACAGTACTCAATACCTACTGAGTTAGAGCTTGCTCACACAGTGCTCAATACCTACAGTTAGAGCTTGCTCACACAGTGCTCAATACCTACTGAGTTAGAGCTTGTTCACACAGTACTCAATACCTACTGAGTTAGAGCTTGCTCACACAGTACTCAATACCTACAGTTAGAGCTTGCTCACACAGTACTCAATACCTACAGTTAGAGCTTGCTCACATAGTGCTCAATACCTACAGTTAGAGCTTGCTCACACAGTACTCAATACCTACAGTTAGAGCTTGCTTACACAGTGCTCAATACCTGCAGTTAGAGCTTGCTCACACAGTGCTCAATACCTACAGTTAGAGCTTGCTCACACAGTGCTCAATACCTACAGTTAGAGCTTGCTCACACAGTGCTCAATACCTACAGTTAGAACTTGCTCACACAGTACTCAATACCTACAGTTAGAGCTTGCTCACACAGTACTCAACGCAGGGTCACCTCTAGGGGGGTTTCCAACCGAATCGCAAACAATGACTCTAAAGAGCCTGGGAAATTTTCAAAATTATGCATTTTTCGTGTTCTTTGGATCATAACTTCAGTTCTACTCACTCAATCTTCATTATCTTGGGCTTCCTGGAAGTGGAAAGGTACCAGGGAGAGAATGAGGTCGACCATGATAGCCAGGACACAGTACAGTCATGTACATATCCAGCGCTATGGCTATTTATCGCGGTAGAGTGCAGTGACGGTGCGAAAAAGGCCCAAACGCGTCCTGCTCCAGCGATTTCGTTTTTCTTGATTGCAGAGCTTCGATTTTTTGGCTGTGTACTCTTGAAAATATCACAAGTGAAGCCCCTGCAAAATTGAGCAAGTCAGCGCGACGAAAAGTCTCAAATAATTCTGGATACTCCAGTCGCACTGCGCGCTTTTGAAATTGCGAGATCGCGGCTCAACTTACGAATGATTTATCTCAAGAGACATTGCTCGCAGCGCGTTGAAAATGTTTCAACCGACAGCTGAGAGTTTTCTATTCGACCTGGATATTTGGATCGTTGGATTTGAGCGAGATTTGACTGAGTTGCGATCTGTTGCGATCTGTTGAAGTTTTGCAGTCTTGCCAGAGCGATCGTGCGCCCTACCAAAAATACCCAAAAACGTTGCTCGTTTGGAACATTTGGGGGGTTTCCGGGCAACGGGAAACCCCCCTGCATACGCGCCTGCCCAATACCTACAGTAAGAGCTTGCTCACACAGTGCTCAATACCTACAGTTAGAACTTGCTCACACAGTACTCAATACCTACAGTTAGAGCTTGCTCACATAGTGCTCAATACCTACAGTTAGAGCTTGCTCACGCAGTGCTCAATACCTACAGTTAGAGCTTGCTCACATAGTGCTCAATACTTACAGTTACAGCTTGCTCACATAGTACTCAATACCTACAGTTAGAGCTTGCTCACACAGTACTCAACAACTACAGTTAGAGCTTTCTCACATAGTGCTCAATACCTACAGTTAGAGCTTGCTCACACAGTGCTCAATACCTACAGTTAGAGCTTGTCACACAGTGCTCAATACCTACAGTTAGAGCTTGCTCACATAGTGCTCAATACCTACAGTTAGAGCTTGCTCACACAGTACTCAATACCTACTGAGTTAGAGCTTGTTCACACAGTACTCAATACCTACAGTTAGAGCTTGCTCACACAGTGCTCAATACCTACAGTTAGAGCTTGCTCACACAGTACTCAATACCTACAGTTAGAACTTGCTCACACAGTACTCAATACCTACAGTTAGAGCTTGCTC